AGGTAGCAACGGTGGAGAGAGATCATAGATCTGGCGTTGTCGGTCGTCTCATCTCGTAGATCTAGCCTCTGGTGTCAATCCACTATAGATCTGGTGGTTGTTAGTGTTTATTCTTGTAGCGGAGGAGGAAAACGATGGAGACAAATGGATGTAGTCACTTATACAGCTGATAAGAGGTGGCATAGGTAGCGTCGCTGGCGGTGGTTGTGGTGGTAGTGCCACCGTCAAATCTGGTAGTGATTGTGGTTTGCCTCAACGATAATAGAATGAAATAAGATAAAAGTTTTGTTCATATCTTAGTTTAGATAAGAAAAGAGTATCTGATCAGATAGATCTAATAAAATGAAATGAAATAAGCTTTATCTTTTGTACTCCCTCCGTCCCAAAATTATTGTCCACAGACAAAAAACACATAGATTAAGAAAAACAATCATTAGTTTTGTCTTTTTGAGTAAAATGACCCTCTTGCCCTTTTCTAAAACCAATGGGAAATGTGCGTTTGTAATTATTCAAATTTAATTTATTAAATGTTAGGGGTAATATGGTAAAAGTGTATATCTACTTTTGGTAGTGGACAATAATTTTGAGACAAACTAAAATAGTAAGGTGGACAATAATTTTGGGACGGAGGGAGTATTATTTACATTCATGTCATTCTTTTTTTAGACATTGAAAAAATGCCCTTTATAAAGTTTTTAAACATGTATTTGATAAATGGAAAATATACCTTTAATAATAAAGCTAAAAACAATGGTTCTTAGGGCTCTTAACCTTTAATGGTTCTCATTTGATCTTTTACACACACACACACACACACATATATATATATATATATATACATATATATACATACATATATATATATATATATATATATATATATATATATATATATATATATATATATATATATATATGTGTGTGTGTGTGTGTGTGTTGTGGTAAAAAAACGAGCACAGAAATATCAAGCAAATTGTATGAGAGGCTGTGGTGTTGCAATTAATATGAATGTGAAAATGAAATGAAAGTGGCACGAATGATCTTACAAGGAAAGCCCTTGATCCTTGCTAGGATCTTCGACATAAAATCTTGGGAAGTGATAATGATCAACTGCATTGTTAAATCTTATTAATCGAAATGCAAATTTTAGAAACGTGTTTGAGAATATGAGTACAAGTGATTTAGTCACTTTAGGTGCCCGTTGTGTGATTTATTCATGTGTATTTATAGCCTATGTTGACTAAATAGATGTTCGATATTCTCAGGATCCTGTTAAACAAACTCTTGCACGTTGCCTTGACTTGGTAACTCTGGGTTTTAGGATTCTTCAGTGTAGACGCGTCTTGTGTTTACTATATCTACACATGTGAATAATAAACAAAAAATATATTTGTTAATCTCGTTAGGAAATAATACTAGAAATATTCAGGATCCTGACTCGTTAAAACATATGTTTCAGGATCCTGACTCCACTTTAAGATTTGAGATCCTGGACATGTTTCAGGATCTTGACCCCTAACAATTGCCCATACATTATACCTGCAAAATATTTGAATTAATTCTGAATATTTAAAGAGTATAATTTATTTTAGAATTAAATTAAGATATTGATTTAGAAATTTAAAATCAAACGGATAGAATTTTATCCATTTAATAGGAATGATTATCCCATCATGTCATCTCTCTCTCTCTCCTCTATAATTCGAATAAATAGGGCATAGTGGTTACCGACACTTCTTTACCTCTTCTAGCTTACTCTCAAGCATTACCATTTGTCTTTAAGTTAAATCTTGTGCTTATTTCTCTCTTATTTTTGCTACTTTCGTTTTTGATCCATGAGTAAAAAGACACTTCATTCACGCATAAGCATCCTTTCTCCTTCTGATGAGGATTTTGTCGATCAAAAAATCCTGACGTATGAAGAGACCTGCTCTTTTAGCGATGACGACATTGAATCTTTGAAAATGAGTGGGGATTTTCCTGCTAACACTATTTTCAAACCTTTCGATGCTCACACCCAACCAGATTTTTTTCTCATACTTAGTTTTGCTTCCCAGTGTATCCCTTATCCTTAGGTTTGACATATCCTTTCTCCAATGTGGTTTCTGGATTTTTTGAGGTAACCAAAATCTCTTATATCCAAACCATGCCCATGATTTGGAGGATCCTTTTTCGGATTGGCCGGTTGAATGAATCCAAGGGTCTTGACATGGGTTTGGCGGAACTAGGCCATGTTTATGATCTTCAAACTTTCGGGTCTTACCGTTTCTTGTTTAAGGTTAAAACCAACAAAACACACCTAAATTTTGAAATCAAAACAAAATGATGGTCCTTGGAAAGAGAATTTTTTTGTGAAACACGAGTCTATCCCCAAAAATGATATTCTGCCAATGAACTAGGTAAAAAAGGGTAGGATTTGATTTATTATGTTAAGGATCCCGAAATTCACAATTTCTTATTTTGTTCGATTTTATGCAGCCACCAAGTTTGAGGGACTTGCTCCTGCCACCGAAGAGACTGGAGAGAAGATCGAGAGCTTTCTCACTTTGCCCGAAGTCGAAAGATCCTTCAAGCTTGAAAAATCCAATTTTCAAGAAAGTGCATCCACTACTCTCCCAATGTCGACTGGTAAGGATCCTCTATTCATTTGTTCTATTTTGAGGATCTTGAACTTATGAAGATCCTTTGTAATTTTAGGGTCCAAGGCCACACGTTCTAGCACTTGCTTCACCCTTTCTGATCTAGAAGAGGCCATGTCTAGTGGTCAACTCATGATAAAAAAGGAAAAGACTTCCTCTTCTCTTCCTCCAAAGAGGGCTCTAGTTTATCTGACTAAAAAGACTCTTGGATCTAGGAAGAGAAAGTCGTCTGAGATCCTAGATCTTAGCCTGGAGAGCCTAGGGGCAGAGGAGGCTATGAAGAAGCTGATCTTTTTCTATCAAAATGTAAGCACTTTTGAGTTCTTTTTTCTTGTTTATAATTTACTAATTATGATCTTTCTTAGGTTTCAGATCATATTTCCCGATCTACTGATGATCTGAGGCTCATGGTTGAGGAGGCAGAACGCACCTTAAAGGAGCAGGAGAGTAACTGGAAGACGACCAAAAAGAATCTCTTGAAAAGGGTGGAGAAGCTGGGCACGGAGAAGGCATAAAACGAAGAAGAGAATACCCAGAAGATTGAGGATGTGATTGTTGATCTCAAGAGCAGTGCCACCGAAGCTGTGTGGGAGGCAAATATCAAAATGGCGGAGGACGTGGAGAAAGGAGACGCAGGATCCTGTAACTGGCTGGTTGGCGTGACACCTTGGCCAAGTTAACTGGCAAGCAAGTTAGTGTCAGTAAGGATCCGGTGATGCAAGTGGAGAAGAAGAAGAAGAATGAGGGAGAAAATAAAGAGGAAGAGAAGAAGGAGGAGGCAAAGGCGACTCCAGCAGGTGGTGATCAAACTTTGGATAGTATTTAGGTTTGGTAAGTTAAAAACAAATTTAAATTTTGTTTGTAAACAATTAATCTTTTGGTGGGTTGGTGGGAAACCCTTTTAATTTTAATGTTTTAGGTTTTATTATTTTATCTGGCTGAATGGTTTGGTTGTAGAAATACATAGGTCCAAAGCATAGTCACATAACTTGCTGAAAGTGCCATGTTTTCCGTACCAGATCGCTCGTACCAAAACGCGGTATGATTTCGTTTTGGGTTTGCTCGGGATCGCGTTTTAGATTGTGAAATTGACGTTCCGAAAATGCAATTGCTTCATTCCTGATTTTTTTTGGATCGCGAATTTTATGATTCTGATACACATTATGGAATCGACAGGCATCATCGAACCAAAATTTTGAAAGTCTTTCATTGTAACCGATAAAAAATTTAATGACCCTCCATTCTTGAAGCATTGAAATTCGACTTCATTTTTATGGTATTCGATTTTTACTCTTGAGTTTATGCACTTGATTTGGGTCTTGGTAAAAGAGGGGAGGAGAGAAAGGAGGAGAGATGAATAGTGGTCCGACATAGAGTACACGATAGGAAAAATAAATAGCTTTTTTTTTCTAAGTCTACACGCATGAATAAAGAAGGGCATAGGCTTTACAGTGAAAAGACTGCACCCACTTTTCAATATTTATTAATTACCTTTTAATATATTAATTATTACTATTAATCCATTTGTTAATATTTGTTATATATATATATATATATATATATATATATATATATATATATATATATATATATATATATATATATATATATATAGGGAAAAGTTCAATAGAGAACCAATATGAATCAAAGAACCAAGGAACCCATCTTAACCATCTATTTTGTTTTAATCTTGGCCATTAATCCATAATTAACCAAAAAAAACACGGAGGGTCATTTTGGTAAGTTCAGCGTCTCATTTAACATCCTGTTTGTCTCCGTCAGCGTCTTCTGATTTCAGCATCTTCTGTTACTGTCCTTCATCTTCTAACACTACACTGATCGATCCAAAATCTCGCTTGTTGTTCGAAATCTCAACGTTTTTCATCCAATTTACTAATACTTTCTTCAGATTTCAGCTAATAACCAGATATTATCTTTCGTTTATGATTATTAGGTCAATTATGGACTTTGATTTTACCGTTTTTCTTCCGATGCATTGTTATTGTAATCGTCTGATTGTAGAATTCTCTTGATTTTACCGTTTAATTTTCAAATTGTTACGTTTTTATTGTTAATTTGCTAATTTTATGTCGTATGTTGAGTATACTGTTTTTCATTCGATCGTTTTTGTAATCATTCGTCTGTAATGCATATTCGACATTTAGATAATCAATTATATCTTGTGCATCTTCTGACATTTAAGTTTTTTCCAAACTTTTAGTGATTTTGAGAATCTTATCTTATCTTGTTCTTATATTTAAAATTTTTGTGATTATCTTGTTTATTTGTTTCCTTTTTTGTATAATTATCAATTCTAAATTTCTAATCTGCATATAAACTCCAGGTCATCGACGATTCATTATGAGTTATGTGAATTCTTGTTCAGATTTGCATTCAACTATTAATGAACAATCACGTACGTTTTTTTTTCTTAATATAAATTTCACATTTTATATATAATGTAATAAAATAGATGTTTTGTTTGGTTTTGCAGTTCATGATCAATCATCTTCAAGTATGAATATTGATCATTCAAATAACAGTAATTCTTGTTATAGTTTTGATTTTGACCTCTACAATACTGAAACTTTTAAGCTTGTTCCTTATGATAAGTTGATACATAAGAAGCCTTTCAAAGGATTGTTGTTTGATTCGTTGGACATTGGTCTTGACTTTTACAAGACTTATGGTAAAGAATCTGGTTTTGATGTGAATATGTCAAGTCTAAAAAGATACAATGATGGCACAATTCGTATTAGATATTCGACATGTAGTAGATCTGGTTTCACGGAGTCATTCAAGAATGAAAATATTAATGTGAAATTTTCAGATGTTAAGGGAAGGAGAACTTCTTCTAAGACGAACGGATGCCCTGCTGTTTCAAAGTTCAAGAATCTCCGATGTTCTTTAATGTTCTACATTTATGTGTTTGTTGAAGATCACAACCATGAACTTGTTGCTCAAGATCAGTTGCACTTATTAAGGATTAATAGGACAATGGATTTTCTTGATGAATCCTTTATACATAAGGTTGGTACTTGTAACATTGGTACTTCAAAAGCTTATAACTTGGTGAGTAGTATGAAGGGTGGCTTTGATTCTAGTGAAGGTACTGCAGTTGACTTTAAAAATTTTCATAGAGATTTGAATTCTAAAATTGGTGTCAAAAGATTCCCAAATGGTTGTGGATATATTGACAAACAGAAAATTATGTTTCTCTAATTTTTCATTTGAGGTCCAAAAAGATGTTGATGATCATCTTACTGGACTTTTTTGGGCTGATGATACTTCGAAAGCTAACTATAAGGAATTTAGTATCTTTTGATGCTACTTATTAGACAAACAAGTAATTCCTAATCCTTATTTATTTTTTTTATGGTATTTGTTCGTTTTAATAATACTTATAAAAAAAATTCAGGTATTCTATGGTATTTGTTCTTTTTACTGGAGTTGACTACCACAAGCGTTGTGTTACTTTTGTTGCTGGTTTACTAGCTCGTGAGACAACAGATGCATATGTGTGGTTGCTTGAAGTGTTTTGTAAAGCATTTTTTTCAAGCCACCCATGATGATTGTAACAGATCAGGATTCATCAATGAAGAAAGCTGTTAATTTTTTTTCCTGAATCGAACCATAGACTATGCATGTGGCACATCACTCAAAAACTTGAGGAAAAGGTATATTCTTTGTTTCTTGATTCCTATATATGTTTATAACCATATAGATCATAAAGCACATTGTGAATTCACAATGTAAATTTGCATATAATGAAAGGAACAACTCTAAATCATAAATCACACTGTGAATTCATAATGTTAAACAAATGTTATGTTACTATGAATTACATCAAATATTCAACATATGTAATGATTCTTATGTGTTTCTTTTTTTTAGATTCCTATTGATGTTTATAACCATCCGGACTTCCAGAAGACATTTTTTGATATTATATGGAATCTTCAATGTTCTCCACAAGATTTTGAAAGTTCGTGGTCAACAATGTTAGATAAGTTTCATCTAAAAGAAAATGATTGGTTAAGGTTTGTTTTTAAAATAAGGGATTTATGGATTCCGGCTTTTATGAGAGATCTTGAACTTTCTGGTTTGATGCGAACTACTTCAAGATCAGAGTCTGAATTATGCTTTCTCACATTTTTTGCATCATAAATCAAATTTGGTGAAGTTCATGATGTCGTTTGATAGTGCAATGGAGAAGCAAAGGCATCATCAATCTTTATTAGATTATCAGTCCACAACTACTACCCCCAAGCTAAGGACTCCTTTGGCTATTGAAAAGCATGCATCGAAAATTTATACACATAATATTTTCTTGGACATTCAGAAAGAGTTATACAAATCTGTGTTTTATTGTGTTCAAGAATTTGTAGTTATTGAAGATAAAAGCGAAGTTTATGTTTTGAGAGATAAGAAGAAAAAAAAGTTGATTGACAAAAATGTGAATGAGGATGAAGATTCTGATGATTTTTATCGAAATAGTCTTCCTTCTCATTGTCCTAATACTCGTTACAAGGTATGTCTATTTGTCCTAATATATTTTATTAAATATAAAATGTAGTTTAAAAATTCACACTGTGAATGTAGGATGTTTTGCTAATTCACAGTGTGAATTTTTATAGAGTTATAAATTTTTAGATTAATATGGAATATGTATTTTTTTTTGTGAATTTGATTTGAAGTACATATTTATATTATAGTATTATTATTTCTAATGTCATGTTGATTAATAATGTGAATCGATGTTAATTTGTATAATTTTATCGAATGGTATGAGATAGAATTTCTTATTCAGATATTAATTTGTTTATTAATGATAATTTTTGTAGGTTGTATTTAGTAGAAGGGGTGATAGCATTAGCATCAGTTGTAGTTGCATGCTTTTTGTCCAGGAAGGATTGTTATGTCGTCATATGTTTTTCATATTAAATATGAAAGAGTATGATGAAATTCCATCAACTTTCATTTTGAGGAGATGGAGAAAAGATATCATAGCTGATGGATTGTTGAGAAAAAAGTGCTCATATCCTCATAAAGGCAGTAAAAATGAATGTTTGATTCAAGATGCGTATGCTATTCTTCGTTTGTCCATTAACAAGATAGCAAATAATGAGGATGAGTTGGCTAAATATATAAAGCAACTTCAGGAGGTTAATAGTGGTATTCCTTTATGTACCTCATCAAGGGTATCTTCGAATAGATCAGTTCACATTGAAAAAATTATTGGAGCTGCAGTACCTGATGTTATCAACATTCATAATCCAGAGGGGATCAGAAACAAGGGATGGGCCAGTGGTAAAAGAATCAAGAGCACTAGAGAGAAAGTGATTGAGAAATCTAAAAAGGGTTCTAGGTTGTGCAGTTTATGTCATAAACCAAATCACAATGCTAGGAGTTGCATTTTGAGGTTAAAGAAGTCTGATTTAGAATCTGAGGTTACAGAAGGCTGATTGTTTCTAATTTTTTCTTTTTAAGACTACTAAAATAAGATTTGATTTTTGTAATGATCATTCAATGGTTAGAAATGTTGAAATATTGTTGTTAATTTTGATATTCATTGTTTTAGACTTTATTTCTAATAATAGAATATATTTTTTTCAAATTTAGTGTTTTTGGTTAAAGATATTTTTTTATTGTTAGTTTTTTGAATATTTTCTAATAAAAATTTCATGCTAATGATTTAATTTATGTATATTATTGTTAATCTCATATATAAAATTTTCATGTTAAAGATTGTCTTAATGTAATTTAATTCACATTGTGAATCTCAACAATTAATTGTTCTAATGATCTATATGTACCATAATTCACATTGTTAACCTCACATATAAAATATACATGTTATAATATGTACTGTAATTCACATTGTGAATCTGACATATTAAATTTTCACAAGGTTAACATATAAACAATGTAAATTTTCATATTTTAATAAAACATGTAATTGTATAACATACATGTAGACATTCACATGAAAATATAAACATCTTTTAAGTATTTAGTAAAGTTCATTATATTTGATATAGAAACTAACATCAAATTGTAACATAACAAGCATGTATATGTTCTTAAAGAAATTAAAGTGCATCTAAACTTATACTAATTATGAATAGAAAACTAAGTTTTAAGTTTTACACTTCTTTTTCCAATCCTTGAAGTACTATATCCTTTCTCCCCTTTTTTCCCATCCCTTGTCGAGCAAATCTTTTATTTCTTCATTAGTCTTTTTTGCAAACTTAGCTGTTTGTGCAATGATTTTTGACCTGTATGTGTTTGTGTCACTCAATAGTATCTTTGTCAAATACTTAATGCGTAACTCGTTTAACACACTTTGTTGTTGTTTTGATTCTTTTGGCAACCCACATGTCCAATTTACTGTTTTATCTCCCATATATGTCTCCATATGACGCATGCAAAAAACTCCACAGTCAACATGATTATCCCTCGTGCGCCAATTCATGTTCACCCTTTCTAGTTCAACACCCTCCAAAGTTGAAGCTGATTTGTGATTGACCCTCATCAAGTACCTACTAAAAAGTATTTTCTGCAAAAAAGAAATTCCCATTTTCTATAATTATTATTTTATTTAGATTATTAGTATATTAATACTTATATTTATAATGTAAATTTATTATTCTTACCAATTCATTAGGTGCATCACGATAAGCTTTAGGAAACTTTGCAACTGAATTCCTATTGTCAATGACATCAACCGCTGGTTCCTCTAAGTTTATGCAGATGATGTAAAAGTGATTTTTTTGATGAACTGGGAAAAACACCTGTTTAATAATTTAAATTGTTAAACTTTGTTTAAAATATGTAATATATTCAACAAAAAGAACAGTTTATTACCAAGTGAACTTTTTCAAATGTTAGAAGTTCTTTGTCCTTTTTCATTGCATCTTTGATATTTAACTCAAATTTATCAAATCTTTCATTGAAAGGGATATATTTGTCAAATATGAACTGTCTCTGCAAAAAAATTAAATATACATCAAATTTTAAAGAGTAAATTGTTAAATTCACAATAAGGTAAATTTTAAATTTAAAATTATTCACAGTGTGAATTATAATGGGATTCACTGTGTGAATTTTATTTTCTGCAAAAAAAAAAATTAAGAGATTCACATTGTGAATCTGTGTGAATGTGAGACATACATCCAAAATTCACATTGTGAATTTATGCATTTAACAGCAAAAGAGTTTGAGGTTCACCAAGTGATGTACACATACACATATTGAGAATTTTTACAACTATTTTGTTCATAGTGAATACAAACAAAAGTGTTGATCAACTTGCAAAAAAAAATAATAAAAAATAAATTTAAGAGATTCACATTGTGAATCTATGTGATTGTGAGACATAGATCCAAGATTCATATTGTGAATTTATGCATTTAACAGCAAAAGAGTTTGAGGTTCACCAAGTGATGTACACATACACATATTGAGAATTTTTACAACTATTTTGTTCATAATGAATACAAACAAAAGTGTTGATCAACTTGCAAAAAAAATAATTAAGAGATTCACATTTTGAATCTGTGTGAATGTGAGACATGGATCCAAGATTCACATTGTGAATTTATGCATTTAACAGCAAAAGAGTTTGAGGTTCACCAAGTGATGTACACATACACATGGTGAATTTTTACAACTATTTTGTTACTTATTCAGAACTATTGAAAATTTTATTTATTATATTATCAACATTAACTTACCACCATTGATGTATCAAAGAAATACCGATTCACTGTAGAATTTGATTTAAGCTTTTCTTCTTAGTTCAAAATATCAGTCCAAGCATCAATGACATGTGCATGTACCCATAATCCTGCCTGCATTGTTTCAATCATTCCTCTTCCAAGCACATAACCTCTCTTAGTCTGAAATACCTTCTCATTTAATTTGTAATCAAATAAAACAAAAAAGCAGTTAATAGAAATTTAATTTGTATTTGTATTTATATACTATTGTATTTAAATAAAAGATAACATGAATTATTACCTGCTATTACCAATTCTGGAAAAAATTCTATCTGATACTTTTACTTCATCTGGATCTACAAATTTTGATGCACAAACCTCTTTTTTATTATAAGGAGAAGATAGCTTCAGTGATGGTTTTTTAATCTTTTTCCTACTTCTCTTTTTTTGTCTTCATCATCTTCAATTCCCAAGATATTATTGTCACATTCTGTTTCTTCTGAATCATAACTTTCTCCTTCATCAAGTTTTTCATTTTTTATTTCTTTCTTCATGTGTTCATCTTCACTGCTTTCATCTCCTTCCTGAAACTCTTGTGTTAGACCAAGACCAAGTCCAAGTGAAAAACTAGGCATTGATGATTTTCTAGTATTTTTTTATTTTTTTTATCATCTATTATTGTTTTTTTTTATTTTTTTGTTCTCTAAAACTTTTTACATTTTCAAAATCATCATAATCATCAAAATTTAAAATACATTGAATAGAATCAGCAAGCTCATGCACTATTGGATCATTGTACAAATTTCCTGGTGTTACCATGATTGGTTGATTCTTTATTTCATGTTCATTCAAATTCTCATCGCTTTTTTCTTCATCTTCATTTTGAGTTTTATAAATGAATTCTTGTTCAAAGACTTTCTTCATATCTTTCAAGTCATCGCCTTCTGTGAATTTTGTTGTTGAAAACTCAATTAATTTTCCAAACTTTAGTTTATCATTCACTAGGGTTTTTGTAATTCTTTTTCGCTTTGAATACCAATTCCTGCGAAATGAGATAAAAAATGTCAATAAAAATGAATTTTTTTAACTTTCTTCTATAATAAATTACAGTTTCAGAATATGAATGCATTGATGAGGTATCACATTTTTAATGCATTTTAATAAATTACATATTCACTTTGTGAATTTATTATAGAGAAAGTAATAAAATACACTTTTATATTCACAATGTGAACCACTTTATGAATTTCATCTTAACTACAATTTTATAACATATATCTGTAATATAACTTCAATTTTTTTTAAATATATAGATTATTAACTTACATCGAGTTTCATATCTTCATTTTCATCGGTGTCGGATTCTTCATCATTCTCTATAACATCATCATTCCATTCCAAAGTTCCAAAGTCACCACTCTTTAACTCAGCTTTTTCCCTTTTCACAATCATTTCATAATCCCAAAAATGTAGTGCATGTATTTGTCTTTTTTCATTCTTATCATTCCTCATAAACTCCAAATAAGCTAACTGTTTATGTAAACAAAATTATGATTAATTAGTTTTCTTATAATAATATAAATAAAAGTGTTAATTATAAGAATTTTCCTTACCAATAATACAAGAAGTGGCCCACAATAGTAGTTTCCTCTATCGGTTTCATCCCACGTCATCTTTGACATTTTCAAGCAATTGGTTATAAAACCACACCAATCAATTTCTCTCATAGGTGTTTTGCCTAACAAATGTGGCAATACTGTTGTCTTACAAGTTCCAGGCTTATTCTGTTCACAGATGGTATTAACAAACAGTAATAAAAAGTTTGTTATGAAAATAATCCCTGAATCTGATGATTCTTTAATTCTCTCTTCAACATCTGATGGTCTCATAGCCTTGAAATTGTACTGTTGCTTCCAATCCATTAATTATTTTCCTTCACATTGATCAGTGTTATATATATCTTTTCCACCTAGAGGAATTCCAAGCAAATCATGAACAAGTTCTGGTGTTATGTCTATCTTTGCATTAGGTAGATGGATTTTCATATCTGATGGATTGAATGAATTCACAACAAAACGTGCCAATTTCCCAGAAATTCCATTGGTTGCAATTCTCAGCAAAGATCCCAATCCCATTTCTCTAACAACTTTTTTCTGTTCTTTGTTTAAAGATTTAACAATATCATAAAACTTCTTTGGGCTCATTCTTGTTCTCAAAGATACTCTGTCATTTGGATTTATTGACACTTTTTCCTTTTTTTCTTTGACTACTTCGAAAGTCTTTGTTTTTGTTTTTCTTTTTCCTGTTAGTCAATAATTTTCATAAGCTTCTCATAATATAACATATATACTATAAAATAACTAACAATACAAGAAATTCACATGTGAATTTGTTTTGCAAAATATAATATAATACATAAAATAAACATGTGAATTTGTTTATAACTTTGTAAATTAAACATGTGAATAGTAATAAACAAACCTGTTACTTTTTCATCAGATTCTTTCTTTACAAGGCTATCATCAACTTTAATAGGAGTCACATATTTTTTGTATTCAATCATTTTAAGTCTTGGACTCTGTCTGATTTCTGTTCATGTTTTAACAAAATTAATAAGAATTAATTTTATAATATCAAATTCAATTATAATTTTATAAATACTAACCTTGAGTTGTTTTCTTTTCAGGTGTCTTGAAAACAGATTTGTCTTGCTTCATCGACTTTTTCTTTTTTGTTTTTTGTAATCTTGGACTCCGTATGATTTCTGTTCATTTAAAAAAAATTAAAGATAACCGATTTTATATATTAAAGTAAATTATAATTTTATAAATACTAACCTTGTGTTGTTTTCTTTTCAAGTGTCTTCAAAACATATTCATCTTGCTTCATCAATTTTTTTGTTTGCTTTTTTTGAATCTCATCACCTTCTAAACTTTTTTCTTTTTCAACATTTTCATCAATAGTCTTTTCATCTTCATTTTTTCTTAATTTATTAACTATTTCCACCACGGTTCTCCTTGCTGTGTTTTTGGTATATTTTTTGAACCTTCAACTACACAATGTGAAATTTTTAATATCAATGTCAAAAATATAAGTAGTATTACGAAATACATGTTAAACAATATAAAATTGAACATGTGATGATCAAATTGCAAAAACTTTTTAGAAATTCACATTGTGAATTTATGCATTTAACAGCAAAATAGTTTGAGGTTCACCAAGTGATGTACACATACACATGGTGAATTTTTACAACTATTTTGTTCATAGTGAATACAAACAAAAGTGTTGATCAACTTGCAAAAAAAAAATTTAAGAGATTCACATTGTGAATCTGTGTGAATGTGAGACATACATCCAAGATTCACATTGTGAATTTATGCATTTAACAGCAAAAGAGTTTGACGTTCACCAAGTGATGTACACATACACATATTGATAATTTTTACAACAATTTTGTTCATAGTGAATACAAACAAAAGTGTTGATCAAACTGCAAAAAAAAAAAAAAAAAAAAAAAAATTTAAGAGATTCACATTGTGAATCTGTGTGAATGTGAGACATAGATCCAAGATTCATATTGTGAATTTATGCATTTAACATCAAAAGAGTTTGAGGTTCACCAAGTGATGTACACATACATATTGAGAATTTTTACAACTATTTTGTTCATAGTGAATACAAACAAAAGCGTTGATCAACTTGCAAAAAAAAAATTTTTTTTTTTTAAAGAGATTCACATTGCGAATCTGTGTGAATGTGAGACATGGATCCAAGATTCACATTGTGAATTTATGCATTAAATAGCAAAAGAGTTTGAGGTTCACCAAGTGATGTACACATACACATACACATGGTGAATTTTTACAAGTATTTTGTTCAGAGTGAATACAAACAAAAGTGTTGACCAACTTGCAAAAAAAAAAAAAAAAATTAAGAGATTCACATTGTGAATCTATGTGAATGTGAGACATACATCCAAGATTCACATTGTGAATTTATGCATTTAACAGCAAAAGAGTTTGAGGTTCACCAAGTGATGTACACATACACATATTGAGAATTTTTACAACTATTTTGTTCATAGTGAATACAAACAAAAGCGTTGATCAATTTGCAAAAAATTTTTTTTTTTTTTTAATAAGTGTGTAGTATATGATTAGATAACTAGTTATTTTAATCTGAATGCGAATGTTCTAACCTTTATTTTTATCTTGAATATCTTCAATTTTTTCACTTGTAGTTGAAGGTAGAACATCTTTTAGATTTCTTGTCAATTTCATTCTTTTCTTATTATCTTTTTTTTTTCATTGTTCTTTTCTTCATTTCCTGTTTTTGATTAACAAATTAGTTCAAACATCAATTTCATGGTATGAAAGTTATGATTTATTCATATTTTTCACAATGTGAATCAGGATTACAAATGAATTTAACATAATATTTATTCAAATTGTGAATTCAGTTTGAATCAAAACATTATCAATGCAACTCTTTATAAATTTACAATGAGAAACACATTAAGAGATACAATATCAATTAAACATAGATGCATCATAAAATTTCACAAGATGAAAAAATCAAATGTAAATGATAAATCACCCTGTGAATTCACAATTGAATAAATGATATGTTAAATTGATATATAATTATGATTCACTTTGTGAATTGTCAAATAATGTAATACTCAGAAACATTGAATCCTTTCAAAATATCAAATGTAAATCACAAAGCACACGGTGAATTCAAAATGTGAAATTAGTTTTTCAGTTTAATGAATAAACTTAGAAACCACTTAGATTCACAAAGTTTTTAGGAAATTACGGTTTGTAATTTAGATATTCATGATTTCTGTATCGATTTGAAGAAATTTATATCATTAGGTTTTTGGTAATTATACAAATTCTCAAAAATTAATGAAATTAGGGTTTCGATTTACTTAATAAACTCAAATTCGAGTTAGATTAACAAAGTTTTAGGAAATTTCAATTTGTAATATAGATATTCATGATTTCTGTATCGATTTCAAGAAATTTAAATAATTAGGTTTTCGTTATGTATACAAATTATTAAAAGTTCATCATCTGAGGGTTTCAAATCAGTCTAAAACGATTTTGTTAATAAAATAGTGTATTCACAGATTCATCGAATACATAATGTAACAGATAGTTTAGATTTGTCGTTTGAAATTTATCAATAAAAAAAATATAATGTTGAAAATGCATTAAATGAGATAATCGGAAATGAATAGCAGTCAAATATACCTTTTAGATTCATTTTGATGAACTTTTTGGGAAGATTCACTGTGGATATTGGCTGAATCGTCGCCGGAGATTCGTTAGAAATCGATGTTCGTCGGTGAAGTAAAAGATCGCTTTCAATGAGAGGGTAAAATTGATTTCACTGATATGTGAAACTGATGAACTAACGTCGTTAATTAACAGTGAGAGTTACTAAGTTTTAGGTTGATGAAAATGCCCCCTTAAGTTACGTGTTTGGTTATAATCAGCTGGACACTATTGTTTTTCATACTTTTACATCTCAAATCCAATGGCTGTTAATTTTTTGATCCAACCATCTTAATAGGTTCCTTGGTTCCTCCACTCATATTGGTTCTCTATTGAACCCCTCCCTATATATATATATATATATATATATATATATATATATATATATATATATATATATATATATATATATATAAACTGATATTAGGGTACATCGTACCAGAGCGTCCCGGAGCATACCGAAATGAGCCTACCCCCCATTCGTACTGAATTTCAGACATCTAGCGAATTGCGTACCGCGAACCCGTACCTGTACCGAAGCGTAATGTGAACTATCTGACTATGGGCCAAAGTATATTTTTCTAAGTGTCTAAGGATCTTTGAACGATTAAGATCCTAAAGAGTTTAAGAATTTTAGGTTTTACAAAAATTATTAGGTTCTTAAAAATCAGAGATAGACAGTCTTTTGATCGGGATCTTGAAATAATTGGGATCCTAAGGTTTGAGAGAGATAAACTTTGGTTAAAAAGTCTTAAGAGTTGTATGAGAATCTTTAGAATAAAAGGAAATGTCAAAGATAACGTTTCCTTATTTTAAGGATAACTTCAGGCGTAGTGTTTTAGTAAGCATAGTTTAGAAGGTAAGGACAGATAGAACCTGGTGATAGCTTTCAAATTCCCTTCCTTAAACTTCAACCATACTTTTAGTTGTTCTTTTGAACTTTTCCTCAGAATCGTGACTTCGGAGAAGTTTTATGTTGAAAGGTCTTAGTATTTCATAAGCTTGAGACTTGAACTGGGGAGAATCCCTCTAAATACATTCTTGGGGAAATATACCAACTTAAGAATTCATTGGGGAAGATCCTAACTTATACTATACCAGGAAGATCCCAACTTAGATTATACTGGGGAAGATCCCAACTTAGATTATAGTAGGGAAGATCCCCACTTAGTTTATACTGGTGAAGATCCCAACTTAGATCATACTCGGGGAGATCCCAACTTAGGTTGTAGTAAGGAAGATCCCAAATCGTAAGATAACATGATAATGTTATAAACCATAGATTAACATTTAGGATCTGAACATATGTTCAGAGATAAGAGGGTTTACAAGTCACTAAATAGTGAAATGGTCCCCTTGTCCACATTCCATAGTTAGATATCATGCGTCCAAGCGGG